AACTGAAGTTTTTTTTATCAAGACATAAAAATGCGAAAAAAAAAAGAGTTCAACGGTTTTTTTTTGAGTTACCATAGTGTAAAATTTCATCACATACCCTTCTATATAATACCGTTTATAACTTCTGCAAAGAAAAACTTGATTTCACATGAATATCAGTCGCAAGTGTCGCATCGTCATAACTTAATAAATGAAAGAGGGAAAGTAGTGTTGGACACAGCTTCTTAAAGTATGCCACACTCCAGTAACATCTATGCACGCAAACGATTTCGCGATGTTGACTTCCTACCGTATTTATCGTACTTAACAGTTTTAGCGGGACACACCTTAAGATCTGTTGGGGCACTTACCGGATTTTTATGTGAAATCACGTTTTTTTTTAGCAAAAGTTATGAGTGGTATCGTACGAAGGGTAACCGGAGATAATGCGGATACAGGCTTGCTCCCCGAGCTTAAGGATGAGTACAAAGAGGTGTTGTGGTTCGCATTTTCCCGCGTAGATTGGTGACAATGTTATTGGAAAGAAAAACAGTTAAATATAGCGTTCTTTCATGATTACTATTTTAACTTCATCTGTTGCAGTCCTCAAAGTTCTTAGTGTTATCACAGTAAATGAATTCCAAACATTAGCAATTCTTGTCGAACCTGAAAAAATCGCGCTGCCAATAGCCCAATCCATGTATGAGCTGCCATGAATGGCATCACCGCCGTAGCTACCGTAGAGATAACTCCAGCTGTAAAAAATACGGATCTTGCACCGTATTTTTGGTAGAACCTGAAATTCCATGTTGCATTTCTACCAGCATTGGCATCTCATTGTCTCTACAGTCCCGTCCAGATTTTCTTCTAGTTTTTTTTTTCAAGAACGTTATTTCGTTTACCAATGAAAAGGCCATGCAGCTACAAGCGTACCGACAGCTACTGCCCACATCAGGTAGGACTTCTCCGATTGAGAATAGTCATATGGGCCCCTGTTCTCCAAATCTAGTGGATTACTCTGTAAAAAAAATAACATGAATCTCAGATGATTAGATAGTAATCGAGACTATGCAGTATATTTTTCTTTCTTACCTCATTATATTCTCTACCCATGCAGATAAGGGTGAAGTTGAGCACTACCATATTCGATGCTATCGAGGCTATACATGCTGATCCTGAACTAGGCTTTCTCGTAAAAGAACGGAGGATGAAGCTTTGCTTATGTAGTTGTTCTAACCACACACTATCAACATTTTCTGGAAGGCTTCACAAGTAAGGTCATAAGATATATGCAGATGTGTGGTCAGACGGATAAGGAAAACAGAATATTTTTTTAGAGCTTTCAGAGCTCTGAGACATTTTCAGCTTCGAAAGGGTCAGGAAAGATGAATGAAGTAAATCATGCAGATCATTTTTCAACAAAGCGCAATGCGAACCTCCGTGAAGAGGAAGTGACGAAGGTGTATATACAATCTTTTTTTT